GGGTGGGGGGGGGGGGGGGGGTGGGGGGGGTTGGGTGGGGGGGGGGGGGGGGGGTATTGAATTTTATTTTTTGAAAGGGAATGAACCTCCTACAGGAAAGTGTGAGCAATCAGTGCCAAAATGGGAATGGTAAGCAAAGCTAATAAAATGTTTGTAAAAGAAGAAACACTTTATAAGATGGTTGAAAATTTTAATTATGCTTTCAAGTCTGATATGGCAAACCAGACTTCCTTTAAAGAAGAACTATAATAGTCAGTGTGTAGTGGAATAATATTGTATTTACGTGGTAAACATAAATATAATATTTATGTGGTCACTAGAAGTCGAAAATGACTTGACGGCACATAATCAGTCAATCAGTGGAATAAAAAGTTTTCTTCATATGATTGAGAATCTAGCTAAGTGACAAAGTTATAAATGAAAAGATCCATATTTAGTCATCTTGAAGGAAGAATATAGCCATGCATTCTTGGATGGGAATCTGGAAGACGAATATGAAGTTTTGCCTAATACCTATGAACAAAATATCTATAATTTGAATAGGAGGATAGTGGGGATGCCGGGACCACTAAATAATGGTGATCAGGACTGAGATCAATGAGCATGGTGTTGACTGTTAAGAACACTGTAGGAGAAGACTCTCTAATCTCTCCAGCAAAAGTAATATTCAATGGAAATAAGTCATCATCAAAGTGGAGTACATGAGTATTCTTTGTTGTGATTAATTACTAATTACCAATAAATTCACTAGAGGTGTTATAGACAAAGGTCACAAACCTATACCATTGAAAAGTTCTAGAGAAGGAGGTTAATACAAGTGATAACAAGTTTGAATGTTGCTCCTCTCCACTCCCCTACTCCCTTCTACTGTAAAGGGTCAAGAGAGTAACCTGCCGTTGTTGGATTAGTCAGAGCTATCAGTTCTGAAAGGTCAGTTTTGATAAAAAGACTACAGAAGACATCTTAAGAGCCAAAATCTGCAGTTAATTGACAAATGAACAAGGAGCAAACTGTGGAGTCCTTGGGGTTCTCTGAGCTTGGCTGTTTTCTGCAAACGTTTCGTTACCCAGCTAGGTAACATCTTCAGTGGTAGAATGGAATGGGGTTTGCTCTCTGTTTATATACAGCGGCATGCCCTGCCAGTGTTGGTTGGGGGTGTGGGTTTTATTTTTTTCCCTTTGGTAGTTCCTTGATTAGGCTATTGTTTACTGTTGATTGTATGTCTAGTAATAATCTTGGTGTTAGTCTGCTTATCTGTGTGATGATTGCTGGTGGGGAGATGTTCTGTTCTTTTTTTTCCTTTTTATTGTCTCTTTTGAATAGTGCGTAGATATTGTTCATCTCTATGTGCCTGTTGATGGCTGTCTTATCTGAATACCAAGCTTCCAGGAATTCCCTCA